CGCCACGCCCAGGCAGGCGCCACCATGCGCCATGGCCTTTTGTCACGTGTGTGTGCACAGTGCAGGCTGTCCCGCCTGGTGACACACTGCAGGATGAATGGGAGGCCGGGGGAAAGGGGGACTGGGGACCTCCACCCCCCCACCCCTCCTTCCACCCGCTTCCTCCCCCATTGCTTGTCCTTCCGAGGTGCGCCCTCCTCCAGCAGCTCCAACAGTCCCCCAGGAGGGTGGACGGCGAGGGGCTTCGCTGGCCCAACCTGGCTGCTGCTGCCTCCGGGATGGTTTCACCTGTAGTGGTCTAGTTCCAGTCGGTCCTCTGCGTCACGCCTCCCCCTACCCCACCTCTCTACCCCCATTCTCTGCTCCTCTCCCTGCGGTGTGCCTACCAGCCGGGGGTGTGGGGTAAGGGGGGAGATGGTTACGACCTCACCGTCACCCCCCACCGCCCCTCCGCAACACCAGTGCGCGTAGTTCGGCTAATAGTAATAGCAGGCCAGTTGGGGGCATTATGGGGGGCACGGGGAGAGTCTGGGAGGGGGCGGCGGCGGGGGACTGGATGGAGTCTTAATTATCAGTACCCTCTGCGCCTCCGCTGCGTCAGGAGCAACACTACTCCCCCCTCTTCCTCTCCGCGTTCCTGTGGTATCTCCGTTACTCGTCTATCAGCCGTTGGCGCAATCCTCCTCGAGCACTCCATGGAGCGACTGTTTGTACACAAAAGAATCATTCCACGTTGTAACTTCCTCCTCGAGCGATGCCTCGCCCCCCTATAATGAGGGAGTGATGGGGCACAACGCCGAGGCGTGGCGGGGTGAGGCCGGTTCAACGTCCTCACGGCGACGAATCAAACGCCACATGTGCGAGTCGGCGGCAGGAGACGAGTCGATAGCAAAGGAAGAGGAAAGAGAAAAATGGGAAAAAACGCGACACACACACGAGTCTTATTTTCCCCGTCTATGGCGGGGCGATTGGAGGCGATTGCCACCTGGACGACCTGAAAGGAATACAGTTGATAAGGGGAGACGGGAGGAGCAGAAGGGAGCAAGCGAGAGGTGGAGGGGCCGTGTGGGGAGAAAGAGAAGGTGCAGAGTCGAGGAAAGGGGGGGGGGGTGCGAAGCTGAGCGGCTGTGGCGGCGGGGGTACACGTCGGGGAAACGAAGTGAGCGCTGCTCGCGACGACCAAAGCGAGGGGGGACGGCGGGGGGTAGAGAGAGGACAGCACCACTTCACTCTGCTGTAGCGCTGACGGACCAAACTACTTTATATGGATAACTAAAATGTGAAACGGTCCGCCAGCGACAAAGTGAAGGCATGGCCACAGAGAGAGGAGGAGGAGATGGTGGAGGGGTTCGTCCGAGAGGCAGGGGGTAGAGATGAGAGGGAGAGAGAGGGGGGGGGGGGGGGGAGGGACAGATACGGAAGGGATGCGTGGCTGGGAGACACGCGGGGGCGGGAGCAATATAGGGAACCGGGACGGGGCGCTCGCATGTGATGCAATATCAATGGGCAGGCGGTGTGGGGTAGGGCAGGGAGGAGGGGAGGGACGAGGGGCATGCGTTTACTTCTAATCTCCCCGGGCGGTCTGCAGCAAAATAAAAGGGCTCGCTGCTGCTGCTGCGAGTACAAGAGCTACGAGAGCACTATAGCAGCAACACAAACACGACGACGGCTTGCTTGCAGCCAGCAGCGCCGCCAGCGTGTCGTCGCTTCGCTTCCGCCACCGCCATCCGCCCCCTGCTGTAGGCGGGCGAGGGAGAGGTGTCGGGCACAACTATTGTGTCGCTCACGAATCGATACGGCGGAACAAGGAGCGAAATCTTCCCTTCGCGCCGCGCCGCGCCTCGCCGTGCGACAGACACACACACATGCACACTGACCTCGATCCGTCCCCGTCGGCCGACACGTCCGGCGGCCTATCGGCTATCGGCTCGCGCACTGCAAACATGAGATTGTCGAGACAATGCTCGACTTCGGGAGCGCGCACATCATCTCCGACGACAACGTGTGTATTTGCCCACACCGCCGCGCTATGAAAAATCGCGTCGCGTCGCGTCTTCGCGGTGAATCTGAAACCCGCCCGACTGTATATTTCCTGCTCCCCGCCGATCCACCCCATCAGGCGGCTCGTTCCAGCGTGCAAGTGCTTCGGCAGAGCCGTTCGGCAGCAAGAGGGAAGGGCCCCGGGGGCGGCGCGGGTGGCGGCTCCACGCATGCAGGCCGCAGGCCGCCGCCCTCCGCGCAGTGTAAGAATGGCGCAGCGCGGGGCTGACTTGCAAATGCCCGGACGAGCTTTGGCTAGCACGGCGTCACGGTGGCCAATTTATATGGTAATCGAGGACCAAACTAATAATCGAAATATGCGCCGCTCGGACAGGCTGGCCACGAGAGGACCCGGCAGTGCGCGGCGGGCGGGACCCGGGGCCGACGTGGACGAAGTGGACGGAGTGGGCGGCAGCGTCGCCCGTCGCGTCAGCCGCCCGGCCGGCCCGGCACTCCGACAGGGGCGACGGTCAAAGGCAGGGTGGGCCGGGCGCACCGGCCCCTCCTCCACCACAGAGAGCTGCCCAGCCCCCCCTTCTATAGACGGCCACCGCCCTCCTCAACGACGGGCAGTCCGCCGTTCCTCGGGGCGTGGCGTTGGTGAGCTGCAGGCCGCACCGAGAACACAAGACCTGGATTTTCTCCCTGGCTCGAATCCAAACCCACCCTTACGCCTCCGGGACGGGTGGCGAGGGTGCCGAGAAAGGGGAGAGAGTGAAGGGGGAGTGGGGAGGAGGGGAGCTGGTGAAAGGGGAGGAGGGGGAGGAGGGGGAGGAGGGGGGGAGGGGGCTGCGGGCCGCGGCTGCAGCGGTTTAATCACGAGACGTGCGCGCCCCGCCCCCAGCCCCCTCACCGCGCTCCGTGCAGACGCGCTGACGCCACCGCGCCAGCGACGGTTTGCCGCCGCGGACTCATTCGCGCGAAACTGTTGGCGGGCCGTTTTGGGAGGCGGAGGGAGGTGCTGGGATGTGGGGTGGGGGCGATTTCTCATACCATAGTCACGTCGCGGAGCAGTCCAAACGACGCGGCGGGAAGGCGCGTCCGAAATCAACGCGGTGCGGGGCCGGTCTCCATCGGCCGGCCGTAAAGGGGGGCCGCCAATCAGGTCGGTGCGAGAGAGAGAGCGTCTTTAGATGGCGATTGGAAACCTCGATCACGCTCACTACCCTCTTTGGACTGGTTTGGAACGCGCTTCCGGCCTCCGCGATGAGCGAGCTCTCTCGTCGGCATCTTGCAGGAGGCGTGAGGATATAGGGGAAATGGGGGGCTGGCAGGTGCGGCCCGCAGCAGCCGCAGCATCGGTCAATGCGGGTGCGGATGCCGCATCTGAACCATATCCGGCATTATCAGGATGCAACCGGAAGTGCGAAATTCAAAGAACATCTACTTGTATTTATTGTTGCTATATCGAGATACGGTGCATACAGCTTCTGCTTCTGGCATGAGAAACTGTTGTAAAGTTACTTTTCGAAATCTGGACTATAAGTTCCAAATTAGGAGGTGGCAGACTGAAACGCCCAAATTAGTTATGTGCGGGCAGTTGTCTGTTAGACCATCAGACTTTCGTAGAGTGCGTGTTACGTGTGGTTTAGCAAACAGAAAGGAGAATAGGCGAGAGGAACAAAAGGTTCCTGATTGGTGGAGCCCTCATCCCCACTACCGGCAGGCGCGTAATAAGGGGGGGAGGGGCAAGGAGAGCAACCACCCCCTTTGGCACTAGATAGCCTAAGACAGCCTGAGAGGTAGGCAATATGAGCAACAAAATCCTTGTA